TACAGATTGTACTGGTGAGATGGTTCACATACATACAGATTGTACTGGTGAGATGGTTCTGTACATAAACATTGTGCGTTTGCTTACAAATGTTAGTGGTGTTTTGTTGATGTACAGATTATATATACTGGGGAGCTGGTGTATATTGTATATATATCACTGGTGTATATTGCATATATATCACTGGTGGAAGCAGAATAGAAGTTGACCCATAATTCACAAACACACTGTTTCTGTCATACAGATAGGCCACACACTGGCTATGGAATAATCTACATGACTTGGTGACTGTCTGTAATTATACAGTGGTCATGTCTGGGAGTTATGAGACTGACTTGAATGGGGAGTTTAGGATGCTGAATGATGAAACTCAGTTGGATAACTGGATGTCCGATCAGCCACTTACTCTTGACCAATGTCCACTCACTGGCAGCAACACTGATTCCAGCCACCAAGACAATCCAGATTTAATGAAGACAGAGATGCCAGTGGGCAAATAAACTCCCCACATCGCTGGGCTATAGGCAATAAAATCATGACAAATAGAGCCCCAACCATCATCCTTCAACAGACACATGGTTGTTTACACTGTCAGTAAATATTGTACTTCTAGTTACAAACACGGACACGTCAGATTCTAACCAATAACAGATTGATGATATGGAGATGCATGATGTGGGATATGGCAGCTGGGATGAGAGCAGTGACACCAGCAACAGTAACCTGCAGAACAACTGGGTATTAAGATATAAACACTTTAATAAGTGTTAGTCATATTGGTATCTCCATCAAAAACAGGAGCTACTTTAACACTGACATAAAAATAATGGTGAACTGGCAGAGAAAAACACAAGGGCCCCGTTTCACAAAGCTCTCATAAGCCTAAGATCTCGTATCTTTTCTTGCAGCATTCGCACCTCCCATACTATAACATATGAGGTGCGAATGACACCAGGTGTTGAGAGATAGATCAGACTCAAGACTTACACACCGGACCTGTGTATACTGATGACACCAGGTGTTGAGAGATAGACCAGACTCAAGACTTACACACCGGAACCTGTGTATACTGACAGTGGAGACACCAGGTGTTGAGGTAGACCAGACTCAAGACTTACACACCGGACCTGTGTATACTGACAGTGGAGACACCAGGTGTTGAGAGATAGACCAGACTCAAGATTTACACACCGGACCTGTGTATACTGACAGTGGAGACACCAGGTGTTGAGAGATAGACCAGACTCAAGACTTACACACCGGACCTGTGTATACTGACAGTGGAGACACCAGGTGTTGAGAGATAGACCAGACTCAAGACTTACACACCGGACCTGTGTATACTGACAGTGGAGACACCAGGTGTTGAGGTAGATGAGACTCAAGACTTACACAACGGACCTGTGTATACTGACAGTGGAGACACCAGGTGTTGAGAGATAGATCAGACTCAAGACTTACACACCGGACCTGTGTATACTGACAGTGGAGACACCAGGTGTTGAGATAGACCAGACTCAAGACTTACACACCGGACCTGTGTATACTGACAGTGGAGACACCAGGTGTTGAGAGATAGACCAGACTCAAGACTTACACACCGGACCTGTGTATACTGACAGTGGAGACACCAGGTGTTGAGAGATAGACCAGACTCAAGACTTACACACCAGACCTGTGTATACTGACAGTGGAGACACCAGGTGTTGAGGTAGATGAGACTCACGACTTACACAACGGACCTGTGTATACTGACAGTGGAGACACCAGGTGTTGAGAGATAGATCAGACTCAAGACTTACACACCGGACCTGTGTATACTGACAGTGGAGACACCAGGTGTTGAGAGATAGACCAGAATCAAGACTTACACACCAGACCTGTGTATACTGACAGTGGAGACACCAGGTGTTGAGGTAGATGAGACTCAAGACTTACACAACGGACCTGTGTATACTGACACTGGAGACACCAGGTGTTGAGAGATAGATCAGACTCAAGACTTACACACCGGACCTGTGTATACTGATGACACCAGGTGTTGAGAGATAGACCAGACTCAAGACTTACACACCGGACCTGTGTATACTGACAGTGGAGACACCAGGTGTTGAGATAGACCAGACTCAAGACTTACACACCGGACCTGTGTATACTGACAGTGGAGACACCAGGTGTTGAGAGATAGACCAGACTCATGACTTACACACCAGACCTGTGTATACTGACAGTGGAGACACCAGGTGTTGAGGTAGATGAGACTAAAGACTTACACAACGGACCTGTGTATACTGACAGTGGAGACACCAGGTGTTGAGGTAAATCAGACTCAAGACTTACACATCGGACCTGTGCATACTGACAGTGGAGACACCAGGTGTTGAGAGATAGATAAGACTCAAGACTTACACACCGGACCTGTGTATACTGACAGTGGAGACACCAGGTGTTGAGATAGACCAGACTCAAGACTTACACACCAGACCTGTGTATACTGACAGTGGAGACACCAGGTGTTGAGAGATAGATCAGACTCAAGACTTACACACCGGACCTGTGTATACTGACAGTGACACCAGGTGTTGAGAGATAGACCAGACTCAAGACTTACACACCGGACCTGTGCATACTGACAGTGGAGACACCAGGTGTTGAGAGATAGATCAGACTCAAGACTTACACACCGGACCTGTGTATACTGACAGTGGAGACACCAGGTGTTGAGAGATAGATCAGACTCAAGACTTACACATCGGACCTGTGCATACTGACAGTGGAGACACCAGGTGTTGAGAGATAGATGAGACTCAAGACTTACACACCGGACCTGTGTATACTGATGACACCAGGTGTTGAGAGATAGACCAGACTCAAGACTTACACACCAGACCTGTGTATACTGACAGTGGAGACACCAGGTGTTGAGGTAGATCAGACTCAAGACTTACACACCGGACCTGTGTATACTGATGACACCAGGTGTTGAGAGATAGACCAGACTCAAGACTTACACACCAGACCTGTGTATACTGACAGTGGAGACACCAGGTGTTGAGGTAGATCAGACTCAAGACTTACACACCGGACCTGTGTATACTGATGACACCAGGTGTTGAGAGATAGACCAGACTCAAGACTTACACACCGGACCTGTGTATACTGACAGTGGAGACACCAGGTGGTCTTGGTGTATATGTCCTGTGCTGCAAGGTGCCAGTCATATGTCTAGGTCATTACACAGCTGGACCTACATTATTATTGTGCACTTTCAAACATGAGGTTTAAAACTTCTCTCTTCCGTCACAACTAAAGCAGACATATACGCACGTAAAACCATTTTCTGTACTTCGACCAAGCATGACTCCACTGCCTTAGTTCTTGGTCTGCCAGGGAAATTATGCATGCATTCCGTTAACTTGCTGTTATTTTTAGGTAATAGGGTAGTATGTTGCGTATGTAGCCACATGTAAAATCTGTAATATGTTTGCCAAATGTTTCTTGTTTTCAGGTGGGCTAGACATTCATCAGCACTGAACTTGGTTGGCAACCCAAGGGTCAGGGAGAGCGTGGAGAGGGTCAGGGAGAGTGTGGAGAGGGTCAGTGAGAGTGTGGAGAGGAGAGTGTGGAGAGGGTCAGGGAGAGTGTGGAGAGGGTCAGGGAGAGTGTGGAGAGGGTCAGGGAGAGCGTGGAGAGGGTCAGGGAGAGTGTGGAGAGGGTCAGGGAGAGTGTGAAGACTGTCAACAGTTCGTCCAAAGGGGTGCTGTGGACAAGGACACTAAGCATGTCGTGTGAGTGAGTGAGTGAGTGAGACTCGATGTTCTGCGAGAACCACTTGCTGACATGACAAATGTTTCAAGCCCACTGACAAACCTGTTCATGTCCACATATTTGATGACAGAGACCTGAGTTCTGCTGCTGGTTCACATGGGGAATTGAGGGCACTGAGTAGAAATGTCAAACTTTTGTAATGTTTGATGGGCATTTCTTAGATGCTGATGAAAGATGAAGTAAGAAAAAAGTTTATTGATAGCAACTTGCTTATTATAACAGTGATGTTTTGGTGTAGATCATTATTCCATTGTCAAGAAGACACTTAAATTCTTGCTTGCCAACAGTTTAAGGATCCATACCAAACTTTCGCTAATATATATGTGAGTAAATTGTCTTCTGGACTGAGAATGTAAAATGTCTTGCAGCTCTGCTGTTGATTTTTTTCATATCTACATGTGATTTATTCTACTTACTGCCCCAAAAAACATGTTGGTAATAAAATTTATCCTTGATTGCAGTAAGATGGATTGTTCATGTTTTAGAAAAAATTGCGTAATTCATTGACAGTCGTGTCTGTAATCCATGGGGGAAGGAGGGAGGTATCCAGGTGTGTCACCTCATGGCTGCTTCTCTAGATAACACTAAATTTCTAGTGCCATCCGGTTTTTCTGTTATGTGTTGAGTGAAAAAAACATGAGAAGAAATAAATGTTTTCGTTTCTGAAGTTGACTTGAAAAGGTCAAAATGGAGGACATGACAAACGAAGACGCAGGGGCCATCTCCTCAGGACGCTGTGTCTCACGGCAACAGTGGCACTACTTGATGACGGAAGCATGTTAAACATGTCTCCAGAACAGCCCAGCAGACATCCTGAACACTGCTTGGAGTGCATCAATCAGCAGCACCCACATGCATCCCACCGACAGTTTCCTCACCATCACCAGTGGATCCAGGAAATTGTATATGCTATAATTGGAACAGCAAAAAATACACTGATCTTTTTTCCGATCAAGTCAAGTCGAAATGGTTCCTGTTTTGTAGGTATGCTGAGGGAGAGAGTAGGCTGCCTCGGGCGGGCTATCGTGTTCTCAAATATCATAATTATAATTCCATCCTACTTCAGTTGGGGACAGAAGCCCCCAACCCCCCACCTCAGGTGAAATGACATTATGGAGGTACAACGTGGTTGCTTCTGGTGGGAGAATGTGGGCCTGCTTGGCTAACATCATATCTCATGTATGTCTTTACTTGGGGTAAATGTACCTTGCAAGGTTGTCCCCGTGGGAAGGTAGGATAGCTGAAGAAATGGGGACGGTATCATGCAAGATTGTCAGTGAGAAATGGAGAGTGTATTAAACTGGGTTGTGTCACTGACTGTATTCTGCAACGTTGTCTCTCTCTGGGATGTTCAAATTGCTTGCTAAATGTTCACTTGGAGTCAGTTTCAACTAATCCACACTATTAAAGTCTTTACACAAGTAAGCACCTCTCCTGCAGGCTATTGTTTAGAGATCACAATTAGTCCTAGTTGACAGCTCAGTGATCAACACTCTGTGTACATGCTGTATTGTGTGGGTCTATTCCCTCTTTGTTAGATTAATAGGACCCCTTCCTGCAACCAGCACAGCTCCAGGCCCACGGGGCTCCTCAAGGCACCTATCCAATACTTTTGTCTCAACACAAATACACAGCCGCCATCTTTGATTTAAGCCTGATTGCACTGATGAAAATAGATTGTCTTGAGGGATTCATTAAACTGTCATGTAGAGTTTGCCTGCCTCCTTCGGGAGAGCAGGGCCAGTGTCTCACAGTGGAAAGGTTGGATTTCAGCTGAAGGTACAAATGTACGACAAAGCTTTTCCTCAGCCTAAGGATAATACCATAAAGCCCACTTGCTGCAGACCTTCAATAAGTGAGAGTTTCACTGGGCGGACCTTCAATAAGTGAGAGTTTCACTGGGCGGACCTTCAATAAGTGAGAGTTTCACTGGGCGGACCTTCAATAAGTGAGAGTTTCACTGGGCGGACCTTCAATAAGTGAGAGTTTCACTGGGCGGACCTTCAATAAGTCAGAGTTTCACTGGGCGACCTTCAATAAGTCAGAGTTTCACTGGGCGGACCTTCAATAAGTCAGAGTAACTGTCAGTTGACTCACTTGGAGTGTTGACTTGCAACTGTGAGCTGACTCACTCGGACTGTTGACCAGCAACTGTGAGCTGACTCACTCGGACTGTAGACCAGCAACTGTGAGCTGACTCACTTGGACTGTTGACCAGCAACTGTGAGTTGACTCACTTGGACTGTTGACCAGCAACTGTGAGCTGACTCACTTGGACTGTTGACCAGCAACTGTGAGCTGACTCACTTGGACTGTGGACTGTTGACCAGCAACTGTGAGCTGACTCACTTGGACTGTTGACCAGCAACTGTGAGCTGACTCACTTGGACTGTTGACCAGCAACTGTGAGCTGACTCACTTGGACTGTTGACCAGCAACTGTGAGTTGACTCACATGGACTGTTGACCAGCAACTGTGAGTTGACTCACTTGGACGGCCTATCAGAAGTGCACATGCCACATCTGGTCATCAGACCTTATCTGCTAAGGAACCTGAATGTGCATTTCATCTTAAATCTTAAAAGGACACTAAATGAACCGAAAAGTTGTAGAAATTCAATTTCATCATTCCTGATTTGTTTCCCTGCCAATCTGAGAGATATTGGATCAGCAGTCACGAAATGCTCGAGTCCATTAATTTGTGCAGGCAAGTGGGGTCCTTCTAAATGAGTAATGATGGCTTCCACCGGCAGGATCAAGACAGAGTAAGAAATGATTCCCTAAAAGTGGACAAAAAACATGGTCCTAATCACACAAGCAATGAAGAACTAACCAGTGCTTAGAATTGTTAATGTACTCCTATTTGAAAGAAATGATTGGGATTGAGATTGAACGGCTTGCAATGTTCACCAAAAACACTCAAAGGCTTAGAATAACCAACCAAGTTCTACAGAAAACACTCTTCCTGTTTCTACTGAACACATGGACCACCGCCTCATCAAATCACATCAGCTGATAATCTGCAGTTATGGGAACAGTCAATATGCCATTACAACAAACCTTTGTTTCACAAACAGACCAGCATGAGCAGCAGAAGCTGTTCCACAAACACAAGGACACCATCATACTGTAACTTGGCCAGTAAACATGGAGGCACCATCCCACTGTAACCTGGTCAGTAAATATGAAGGCACCATCATACTGTAACTTGACCTGTAAACATGGAGACACCATCATACTGTAACTTGACCAGTAAACACACAGACACAATCATACTGTAACATGGCCAGTAAACATGGAGACACCATCATACTGTAACTTGGCCAGTAAACATTGAGACACCATCATACTGTAACTTGGCCAGTAAACACACAGACACCATCATACTGTAACATGGCCAGTAAACATGGAAACACCATCATACTGTAACTTGGCCAGTAAACATGGAGACACCATCACACTGTAACTTGACCAGTAAACATGGAGACATCATCACACTGTACCTTGACCAGTAAATATGGAGACATCATCACACTGTAACTTGACCAGTAAACATGGAGACATCATCATACTGTAACTTGGCCAGTTAACATGGAGACACCATCATACTGTAACTTGGCCAGTAAACATGGAGACACCATCATATTGTAACTTGGCCAGTAAACATGGAGACAAAATCATACTGTAACTTGACCTGTAAACATGGAGACACCATCATACTGTAACTTGACCAGTAAACATGGAGACACCATAATACTGTAACTTGGCCAGTAAACATGGAGATACCATCATACTGTAACTTGGCCAGTAAACATGGAGGCACCATCACACTGTAACTTGACCGGTAAACATGGAGACATCATCACACTGTAACTTGGCCAGTAAATATGGAGACATCATCACACTGTAACTTGACCAGTAAACATGGAGACATCATCATACTGTAACTTGGCCAGTAAACATGGAAACACTATCATACTGTAACTTGGCCAGTAAACATGGAGACACCATCATACTGTAACTTGGCCAGTAAACCCCATCATACTGTAACTTGGCCAGTAAACATGGAGACACCATCATACTGTAACTTGGCCAGTAAACACACAGACGCCATCATACTGTAACTTGGCAAGTAAACATGGAGACATCATCATACTGTAACTTGACCAGTAAACATGGAGACACCATTATACTGTAACTTGGCCAGTAAACACACAGACACCATCATACTGTAACTTGGCCAGTAAACATGGAGACACCATCATACTGTAAATTGGCCAGTAAACATGCAGACATCATCATACTGTAACTTGGCCAGTAAACATGGAGACATTATCATACTGTAACTTGACCTGTAAACATGGAGACACAATCATACTGTAACTTGGTCAGTAAACATGGAGACACCATCATACTGTAACTTGGCCAGTAAACATGGAGACAAAATCATACTGTAACTTGGCCAGTAAACATGGAGACACCATCATACTGTAACTTGGCCAGTAAACATGGAGACACCATCACACTGCAACTTGGCCAGTAAACATGGAGACACCATCATACTGTAACTTGGCCAGTAAATATGGAGACATCATCACACTGTAACTTGACCAGTAAACATGGAGACATCATCATACTGTAACTTGGCCAGTAAACATGGAGACACCATCATACTGTAACTTGGCCAGTAAACATGGAGACACCATCATACTGTAACTTGGCCAGTAAACATGGAGACACCATCATACTGTAACTTGGCCAGTAAACACACAGACACCATCATACTGTAACTTGGCCAGTAAACACACAGACACCATCATACTGTAACTTGGCCAGTAAACACACAGACACCATCATACTGTAACTTGGCCAGTAAACACACAGACACCATCATACTGTAACTTGACCTGTAAACTTGGAGACACCATCATACTGTAACTTGACCTGTAAACATGGAGACACCATCATACTGTAACTTGGCCAGTAAACATGGAGACACCATCACACTGTAACTTGACCTGTAAACATGGAGACACCATCATACTGTAACTTGGCCAGTAAAAATGGATACATCATCATACTGTAACTTGGCCAGTAAACATGGAGACATCATCATACTGTAACTTGGCCAGTAAACATGGAGACATCATCATACTGTAACTTGGCCAGAAAACATGGAGACATCATCATACTGTAACTTGGCCAGTAAACATGGAGACATCATCATACTGTAACTTGGCCAGTAAACATAGAGACATCATCATACTGTAACTTGGCCAGTAAACATGGAGACACCATCACACTGTAACTTGACCTGTAAACTTGGAGACACCATAATACTGTAACTTGGCCAGTAAACATGGAGACAAAATCATACTGTAACTTGGCCAGAAAACATGGAGACATCATCATACTGTAACTTGACCAGTAAACATGGAGACATCATCATACTGTAACTTGGCCAGTAAACATGGAGACACCATCATACTGTAACTTGGCCAGTAAACATGGAGACACCATCATACTGTAACTTGGCCAGTAAACACACAAACATCATCATACTGTAACTTGGCCAGTAAACATGGAGACACCATCATACTGTAATCTGGCCAGTTAACATGGAGACACCATCATACTGTATCTTGACCAGTTAACATGGAGACAATGTACCACATTATGAGGTATTTAAATATAACAGTCATCCAAAATTTTTTACATCTTCACATTCTACACCAGATTCACTTTTCCTTACTGAATAAACTCAGAAGTCTAACATTGTGAACTGTTGTCAGCTATGAACCAAGCAACACTGCAAAGTATTGAATTTGTCTCCGACCTTTGACAATGCCTTAGTGTTGGGACACAGAGGTTAGGAGAGGTCCCTCAAGGTCAGCACAAGGCGACGATTGACAAATAATGTTCTGAAATTATTGAAGCCATTGTGTCTCATTATTGTTTGTTATGTCCAGAAAGATTTGTGGTAAATACTAACTTGGTCTAAGAAATGCATGATGACAATTCATCAAATGATGTAAGTGTTCTTGCATGAAGGAGGAAAGTTAACAAGCACTGAAGAGTCTCCACCGGTCTGCAGATTGCTGGTTCTGTTCGTGTCTCCAACAAGATGATTTACCTAAAACATTGAACTATGCCTGATTTGTGTTTAACTTCATAAAGGTAAAGGTCAGGTGGTTGTCTGATCTCACAATGTAAAGTCAGAGATGTCGACATGAAAATAATCACGCATACATCAAGAAGTGGCATCAGCCTTGAAATTGACTTGAAATTACGTCTGAAAGGCCCCAACTCTCTATCCTGGGGAATCTGGTGCCACAGTCATCCACGATTTGAACGGCTGGGGACCACACTGGCACAAAGTTCAGGCTCCTAGCTGAAGTGATGGATAGGTGGTGGATCCTTCGTGTCTGTCTTGGGAAACAGTTCAAATATAGACTCACTACAGTCAAAACAGGCCAACCCACACAAAGTTACATCCTTGCTTAGAACTGTCATTTACCAATACTCCAGCATTTTTCACAAGTTTAAATGACAGTATTTAGGTCTGCCAGTATTCCTGGAGTGGTTCTGATAATTTCCAACAGTATTTCTGGAGTGTTCTGACAGATTCCACTAGTACTCCACAGTTTTCTCCAGTATTGCTGGAGTGTTCTGACAGATTCCATTAGTACTCCACAGTTTTCACCAGTATTGCTGGAGTGTTCTGACAGATTCCACAGTTTTCTCCAGTATTGCTGGAGTGTTCTGACAGATTCCACTAGTACTCCACAGTTTTCACCAGTATTGCTGGAGTGTTCTGACAGATTCCACTAGTATTCCACAGTTTTCAACAGTATTGCTGGAGTGTTCTGACAGATTCCACTAGTATTCCACAGTTTTCAACAGTATTGCTGGAGTGTTCTGACAGATTCCACTAGTATTCCACAGTTTTCAACAGTATTGCTGGAGTGTTCTGACAGATTCCACTAGTATTCCACAGTTTTCAACAGTATTGCTGGAGTGTTCTGACAGATTCCACTAGTATTCCACAGTTTTCAACAGTATTGCTGGAGTGTTCTGACAGATTCCACTAGTATTCCACAGTTTTTGCCAGTATTCCTAGAGTGTTTTCTCAGTTTCCACCAGTATTCCTGGAGTGTGACTTACTTTATTTACAGTATGACTTATCCCCAACACATGGATGGTGAGTTTCTCTATGTCCAGTATGACTTATCCCCATGTTGTCTTGGGTGAGTTTCTCTATGTCCAGTATGACTTATCCCCATGCTGTCTTGGGTGGGTTTCTCTATTTGCAGTATGACTTATCCCCAAGTTGTCTTGGGTGAGTTTCTCTATTTCCAGTATGACTTATCCCCAAGTTGTCCTGGGTGAGTTTCTCTATGTCCAGTATGACTTATCCCCAAGTTGTCTTGGGTGAGTTTCTCTATTTGCAGTATGACTTATCCCCAAGTTGTCCTGGGTGAGTTTCTCTATGTCCAGTATGACTTATCCCCATGTTGTCTTGGGTGAGTTTCTCTATTTGCAGTATGACTTATCCCCAAGTTGTCTTGGGTGCGTTTCTCTATGTCCAGGATGACTTATCCCCAAGTTGTCTTGGGTGAGTTTCTCTATGTCCAGTATGACTTATCCCCAAGTTGTCTTGGGTGAGTTCCTCTATGTCCAGTATGACTTATCCCCAAAACATGGAGGTTCAGTTTACCTATTTGTAGTTTGACTTATCCTCAACACATGGAAGGTGAGATTCTCTAATTGACTTACGGATTGTGAGACAAGTATAGGAGCACAGCACAAAAACACAGGGCAAGTTGAAAGAGGGCACTTGTATTGTGAAGGAAGGCAGACATTACACACGGAAACAGCAATTGTATTGTGAAAATACATCCGAAGAAATGGAGTCTGTGAAGCAAGAGATGAGAATGGTGAGATGTGGAAACATTTGTTGAAGGGAAATCAGTGACTGTCAGAGATTACTGGGCTCATTGCAACAAGTGGCAATATTGCACTGTGTGTTCTCTGAGATTGGAAGAATATTTATCACAATT